TTCTGTCTAGTAGTTACTTCTTTTTTATATTCCTCTGTGTGTGTTTTTATGTACTTTGTGTGGTTGATGCAGGTTTACAGGAATGTTGTTTGGGATGGTTGGCAAGAACCTCTCTTTCTTTTTGTATGAATGTATGTCTCCTGTATGTCACTCATGATTTTATACACTACACACATGGGAATGGCATAAATGAGGATAAACAGGAAAATACAGAACACAAATCATAACTGGCAAGAACAAGACTAAACATAAAACCAAAACCCTAACAAGATTGATTGGATTATAACGAAAAAGAAGATGCTTGACCACTAAAAATAGCTTTTTTTTATGGGAGTGAAATGAAGAGACACACGATTCAGGTTGATCACAAATTTAATAACAAACTGGATAAAGCCACCAAGTTCCTAAAAAACTCCAGCTCAACAAATGTATTATTATCATTAAAACATATTTCATACTTCTGCCCCCCACAGTTATTGTGACAACGGTGAGGTCGAAACATTTGGCCATTCAGATAAGCAGGACTGTGAGACGCTTTGAGCGAACACTGCAGCCTGTCAGGGGCCCACAAAAGAGAAGCCAAAACACACAGAGAAAAATAAAATCATAGAGGCAATGGCCAAATTTCTGGCCCAAAAAACTGTGAAGAAGCACGATGTATGTCTAACCGGTGAAGGTGAGGAGCTAACAGTTAGGCAGACTAGCAAAGCTTTAGCTTGCTAAAACCTTTCAATAATATAACACCAGAGCTGCCAACTCAGGCATCAAGCGTGAGACTCATGCAACTGATCACTTTCTGACGCAGTGATAAACAAATGTATAACTGATAATATCAACTCGGGGTGAGTAACTCCGCCCAGCTGTTACGACACCGGCACTCACCGCTGTGAGTTAAGCATCTAAAATCTGAGGCGCAGCCTTGTTCTGTTTGTGACTGCGAGCTGCACTTCATCAGAGGTGCTGAAGTGAACATTTGTATGGATTTGTGGTGAGATTTCTGCCTGATCAGAAGTGTTTTCAGTAAGTTTCATTTATCCGCCTCCTCCTCTCATCCAGTAGTACAGTCCCAAACGGTTCTGTGTCTGCAGACGGCCTCAACAGGCTAAATCAGCAGAGCAACAACGCTGGCTAATGCACAGCAGGGAAGTAGGGAAGGTAGACTGTTCTCATTAAATTATGATGTTATTCTTGAAATATTCTGACTCTTCTCTGGACATGTCAGAGAACACAGATAGGTTGGAGAGATTCTGATTGTGCAGAAAGTTTTAAACATGAGCAGAACATCTGCTGAAACACAGGAGCTATTAAAGTCCAGGAGTTTATCACTGAATTAAAATTAATACATTTTTCATTGAGGTAAGAAAAGGTGCCACAGTCTTTTTAAACTTGATTTATACTCCTGCGTCAGGGCTACATGCCCTGATGTATAAAAGCATTTATACTATAAAGGCATTTATACTTGTGCGGTGTCTCCGTCGTTCTGCAATTACACCGCTTTTCCCGGCCGAGCAAGCTAACTTCCGGCTTAGCCCTCCGCTAACGTGACTGGGGGTGAAATTGTATACCTACGGCTTTTATAGACTTTTTAAAAGTTATTGCCCGAATCGATCACATGCTGATAGTGAAACGAATAACTTTGCTCAGGTTGTGACGCTCAAATATATTAATCCACCGCGTTACAGCTGCCGATGTGGCCGCTAGTAAAATTTACTTCAAAGCACGGGGAACTTCCTGTCGGCTCGGAGGCATTGCGAGGCTACCCAGCCGACCAGTCACAGTGCTTATGGTCCATTTCGCCTCGACGTGTAGTTACATTTTTGAGGAGGTGCAAGTCAATGCAAGGTGCATTATGTTCTATTATGTTTTGCATCATCACCTGCCATCTGAATTTAGTTTTCCCCCTCTTTTATTAATAAAGATCACTAATACCCACAAGTTCCCCTGTGGCAATCTCAAGAAAATTAAACACTCGTCAACAGCGCATCACAAGTCATAGGATACAGCTGCAAATATGGTTACAATACAATAAGCTATACACAACAAAGCCTTGTTTATATTATTACTATCATCATTTCAGCTGACACCGCTGAAAATTCTTCACATAATTTGTCCAATACTTTGATTAATGTAGTCCTCAAGATTGAATATGATAGATGAAGTATGTTTATTTGTTCACTATGTATGATATGATACTATATATGGATATTATGATTTAATGCTTTGCAGTCATTTCTTCAATGTTTGTTTTTTCTTTTCTCTAATGAGCTAATCATTCAAGGGCATTTTTTCTCTCCTTGTCTTGTTTTAAGTTAAAAGGAGGAACAAAACTGTCACAGTCTAATGTGAAAGATTTTGCTTTTGTGCTTTATTATCATACTGAGTAATTGAGTATACAGTAGATGCGAGCGTGGCCTGGATGAGTTTATAACACTGTATTTGGAAATGGTTGTTAGGAACTCCATCTGTGATACTATAAGGCTAATGGCCAAGAGCTTCTCTGAAATTACCTGTGTTTGTATTGGAACTAAGGGTGGGTGTCGATAAGGGGCCCATTTGCACAATGTTGTCCCCCTGTCCATAATTAATAATGGCGGGCTGCCTGTGCCCCATCAAGTTCTTGTCTAAGAGGAAGAGGGGGGCGTGGTCCCTGGCGTTATGGGTTCACTATTTCCCAGCACAGTCTTTCCCAGAGTGGTGAACCCCTCCCCATCTTTGCCTTAGAAAGACTCTGCCATGCTCTTTTTAAACCCAATCATGTTGCTAACCTGTTGCCAGTTCACCTAATTAATTGTGAGATGATCCTGCGGGTGCTTTATTTGAGCATTTCACAACTATTTCTTTTTCTTTTGTTGCCACTGTCCAAAATTTTTGGGTTGCTGCCCAATATCACTTACCTGTTTTCAATGATACCCAGCCAACCCTCTGCTGTCTGGTTTAAGTCACTGGACTCAAAGATCTGTAAATTTTCAAAGCAAAAGAAAAGCAAAACTCCCACATTTTCTTCATTGCTTCCTGTCCAATAGACTACAATATATCTTAAAATGGATCAATCAGAGCCCCTTGGACCACTGATGGATGGACATATAACAAACATTCTGTAAGGAAAATGTCAAACTCATTTTCACTACGGGCAACGTAAGCATTTTGGTTACCCTCAAAGGGCCACTTGGAACTGTAAGACTGTATAAACATACTTTACTGCATAAACTACTCCTTAACATATTGTAAAATAACTCTTTCTTTGATTATTTAGCCTATTCGAGTTAAGGACATTTAACCCATCAGATGCAAAAACATAAGCAAGCACATTTACTGTATCTGTGTTATTATAACATACATTAATTAATTTATCAGGTTTAGAAAAAGATAATACTTCATCAACAAAAAACTATTACATGGGGCAGAACCATTGTAAAACAAATAATTGTGAGCTGCTAATAACATGTGTGACAGATTTGGCATTTGATAAAAACAAACGGCTGCACACAGCCTTGCAGAGGCCATACATCCAACTAATGACAGATAGTTTTATTACCTGGAAAAATGCCGACGTATATTGTAGCCGACTCCTTCATCACAGACACTGGCTCAAAACCAGTGCTTGAAGTGGACAAAATGAGGTGCCAGAGTAAAGTGATGGAGACATTCTGATCCTGACCTGTCCCCAGAGTCCCCAGTGTAAATGACACCTATCTGTCAATATTTTTAAATGTCCCGCCCCATCCAGGCTGTGATTGGTCGGTTCACGACAAGTGACATTGAAGAGCTACATTCTGCACAAGGCTGCTTGAAAGGCGCCCGAGCTTCTCTTCTCCCTCCTCTCTCTGCGCCGACAGAGTTTAGCAGAGAACCGGATATGGAGCGGGCAGAGGAGAGGACCGGCAGCTTGGGAGAAGTCCCGGTACGCATAAACGGTCTGCGTACCGGGGTGTACCGGCCCACTTCAAGCACTGCTCAAAACACAAAAGACATAGGCCTAGCCTACCGGTTTATCTCCTTGAAACACAAACTTGCCTTCCTTCTGCATATTTTGTGTGCAGCTTATCAAGTCAATAATTGCCAAGGTATTTAAAGAAACAGCCTGACAGTTAAGGAAATTTGTTCTTGTTGGATCTGAAGTTTAAAAAGGAGAAACATACAGTGACTGTCCCTGTCACACTTTATCATTTCTGCCCCAAATTATTATCTAAAAAAGTCTTTAAGAGTTGTGAGGAAACCTCATTTGGTCAGAAAGTGCAGGATGCCTCCCTGCTAACAGCAGGTTGGGCTTTATGTTCATATAGAAAACAGAGATTTTGTTGAATCTTCATTTGTCAGCTTTTAATTCACTGAGTTGGTCAAAGACAAACATTCACAGTTTGGTCTACAAACTGATTTTTCCAGAAAATGTACAATTTCAAATAAACTGACATAAACTGTGGTTTAAGATCACTGCTGCAAAACAGCTGCTCTGAATCCCATCCTAAACAGCAGCATGCCTACCACTAAAACAGCAGAAATTACACTTAAAAAGTACAAAGTGCTAAAGACGTGTTGAGATGCTCTCCCTTGTTAAACATCCAAACAACAGTCCAAATAAAGATTTAGGAAGAAGACAGCGAGGCGGCTAGAATGAGCTCAGTTCATCTAAAATAATATCTGCTTTGCTTCTGGGATGAAAGGAGAATAATGACAGACATCAACTTCCAGCTCCAAACTAATAAAACACATTTTATTTCCATGTGTTGAAGCCATCACAGTGAACCAGAGCAAGTTGACCAAAACATTTCCCAGCAGCCACTTCTCCCACAGCAGAGTCCAAACAGTGCTTCCTGTTCTCTACAGTTAGGTGTCTTATTGGAAATGGTCTCAGTAGATGACAGGATCTGTCTCGTCTCTATCCTTTCTATTGGCCTCCATTTCTCCTCCTGTTTCCTCCCCTTTCTCTCTCTCCCTCTTTCTCTGCCTACATGAAGCTGACTGTGGAAATGTTGTCATCATTCATACTGATGACTGCTGATATCATTGCTGTCCATTCTGCAGCAACACACAGAGGCCAAAAGCTTGTCTATGAACCCTTTCCTCATGAACACATACAGGACAAGTCTGCAAGAGGACTGAATCTAACAATTGTAAGATACAGAAGGTTGAGTCTGGAGTCTACCAATCGGTTATTGTCAGTGTATACTTTCAAGAACCAAATGATGGTGGGCAGGAACAGCAGAGTGTAAATAAGCAGCACCAGAACCAAAATTCCCACAATTCGTCGATTTTCATCAGAGGGGACCGAGATGGAAGCAGACAGGGCTTTGAGGGTCCCAACCAGGAAGAAGATTAACAGTGGGAAGGGAAGGAGGAGGAAGACGGTGAGGATCATGTATGTGGCCAGATAATTACCGAAATCTAATACGATGGCACAGACAGGAGAAAGGACCCAGACCAGGACACAGAGCACCACAGAGGTCTTGATGGTTCGTCTGCAGCGGTACCACAGAGGGTGGGCGATGACCAAATACCTGTAATACAAGATGGACACAAAGTCTTTGAGGAGCTTCAGAGTTATAAACTAATATAATGTTCAGACAGAAGGAGCTCCACACATACTGGATAGACAGACAGATACCTTTCCAGGGAGATGCAGACCATGAAGTAAACACTGGCAAACAGAGCAGAGATGTAAATAGACATGAAGATGTAACGTATCCTCCAATCCTCAGGTTTTGCCACCTCAACGATCATGCAGCAGAACTGAATCAGGTCGGTAATGAGAGGTTGATGACGTAGATGGGAGCAACATGATCTCTTCTCACCTGCAGGAAAACATTGGTAAAAGTCAACAATCAGTTGGAAACATGTTGTGAAGTCCACCTCCTCCCAAATCTGTCATCTTGCTCTGCCCAAATAATAATAATAATACATTTTATTTACAGGCACCTTTCAGAACACTCAAGGTCACCTCACAAAACATCTTCAAACAGTCTAGAAATACATTTATAAAACTAACAGCAAAAACGAAGGTGGATAAGATGTTAGGATGGTTAGTTGCGTTGGTGTTAACCCCGTGTTAACTTAATTGGAGTTGGTGCATGTTCGCATAAAAGGGGCGTGTTTGGCCGTGCAGGCAGTTTTTTCGCAAAAAAGCCTTTGCAAGGCTGCAACATCACACACACATGTCTGCAGTGTATTATACATGCATTGGAAAGTTATATTAAACTTTGCAATCAGATTTAGCAGAGAGGAAAAACTCCTGAGTTTAGCCCACAATCACTATCATGCACCTCAGAGACTTTGCCTTGGATCGGGCGTATTCAGAAGAAAACACCAGATTTCGATTTTTTGTGACATTAATTTCAGGGGAATTTCCGATTTTTCTTCTTGTAAATTTCACACTTTGATCTTGGATTTGTTTTCTGTTTCCTGTCTGATTTCCTCTCTAAAATCCCAGCTCGGCTGCAGGGCTCGCTGTCTGAATGTAATGTTGTTGTGTTCAGAACTTCACCGCAGCCGCAGTGGAACAAATCAGGCTGAAATCTAAACATATTTAAGTGGTGTGTATTAATATCCTACTTCTCATCATTAACACTGAGTACAGATGTGGTGTGTAGTCCACGTGCAGGGTAACCTCGATTTAACCACGAACAAAACCTGCTCGGAGCAGTTTAGAGATCCAGCGTAAATTGCCATGGCAACAGACCTCGGGTAACACCTATCCACCTTTTGTGGTACGGGTAAACCAGGAGGTTACACCCGACGTCATGAAGTTACTCCTGAAGTTACGGATAAGCCAGTTACCCTGCTTGGTAGTACAGGCCACTGATAAACAGTGATCATGATCATTTATATGCCAGTTTAAAAAGATTTTTAAAGAATAAAGTTTTCAGGCGGGAAACATGTTTTTGTGTCAAACTATCATTATGAGAAATGACTATTCCAAAACCATTTTATTGGAGGAAAAATCTTAAGCAGTTTTATTAAGCTTGTTTCCAAAAGGCTAGATATAATAATACCTACAACAATGACTGAACTTAATTTTTTGCCAGTTTTTTTGTAGACTCTTCTTAATATTTTAGCATACACTAAAATGTTTATTGCTGAGTTTTCCCAACTTAAAAAATGAAGAAGTTCGCTAAACTAACAAAAAGTGGTTGGAAAATGTTGCCTTTTTAAGTTAGATCTAAGTAACAGTTTTTACAGCGTATATACAACATGCACATTAGGAGATGCGCTGACAGTTTCACTTCTAACCTATGATCATGCCCTCGCCTTCTATCCCCAAACATTCCTTCCTCCGTCTTAAAAGGAGAGAACCTGAGTAACCTGTAGCAATAAGTAAATACCTTACGGTCAAGTGTACTGCAGTACGTATAAACAATTAAAGCTGCAAGCAGCGTTGGGCGGGCCCTCGCACTTGTAAGCAATAATGAACCCAAACAATAAAATAAATTCCTTTTATATTTCCCTGCCTTGTTGTTTATGTGTACATACAGAGGAGAATGTGAGAACAGCACACATTTCATCGTTACTGTGTGTTAGAGCATGGGAGAACAGTGGATACTTTTAATACAGCCCACACCCCTAATACTGTGTAACTATAACAAGTAGAGAACAGAAGAAAAAGATGTTCTTTCTTTACAACTGTCTGCATAGCTTATTCATATTGTGTAATGAATGAAAATAAATAGGCCTACTAGGCTCCTCTCTACTTTGACATTTAAGATTAGCTTGTTTGATCCACCTTCATACACATGTGACATTACTGTACAACTTGAGAAAGGTGAGTTGTTTTCTGCTCCAGCCTGCCTAAAAGAAAAGCGTTTTGGGATTAAATGGACTTTATTAGCTGCTGCAGTGCAGGATGAACTCAGAACAGACCCATTTCTCACCTTATTATTCTAAATCATGCAACGAAGAAGAAGAAATGCATAATAAATCCTGGGACAAAATCTGTCCACAAATACTGTACAGCATGTAGTCTAATGAACAAGACTTGTGTTATAGCTGACTTGGGCAGTGAAATGTTTTTTTAATTCATGTGGTCATAGTTGTCCACAACTCAAATCAGAATATAAGAAGAAATGTTTTATACCACCTCAAGAAGGCTTCCTATCAGAAAGTTAGGAAGGTATTTCAAATGTACAACTGCAGTACTTAAATCTCAGTAATTTCCCGGACATTTTTGTGTTACTTTACTTTTAATAGACCATGTAAGAGGTTTTATACTTCCTGTGAGTATAATCCAATCAGTCTTATTTTCATACTGTATATCCGTTGTGTAATTTGATAAATTGTGTTGTATGTCGTGCTCGCATCTCAGAGAAGACTCTGACTGCAACATGCGTCTTTGTAAAGAGAGAAACGGACAGAAAAAGTCTCTAACTCTGCCTGTCAGCTCGCTCTGCTCCGTTAAAACTGAATTTTCCATACAGAATTGAATACGAGTGCACTCCAGATTTAGCTGCAGCCAGCTGACCGTGTGCTTCTCCCTATACCGCAGTTCTGTGTCCATGCATGCAGCAAACTGAAAGCACTGTCTGTCGGAGCGTCTACGTGAAAAGAGACAAGTAAGAGACACGTAAAATTCAAAATGGCCGACTTCCTGTTGGTTTTAGGGCATCGCTCCAAGAGGCTTTTTTGTGCATCTGGACAAGATACACGTACCACAGAAAATTCGTGCACGTAGGTGAAACGTGCGGCGGGGGCTGCTTCGTTAAAGGTCACTTTCTGTTGCCAGCAGGTGGCGCTATGACTGTGGGTGAATGTCAACATGTACATGTGTTCAGGGCGGGACTCTCATCCTACATGTACAGTTTGGTGCAGATGTGAGCATGTACACTGAAGTTACAACAACTTCCTGTGTCATGTCGAAGACTTGATCTTTGACGCCACGGACACGCCCATTGACGAAAACTTGCAAATAGCACAACTTTTCATCTTCAATGCCTTTAGAAGGCACAGCAGAAATTTGACGTCCGACTAAAAAGTGTGTAAATCATCCAAAAATGGCCGTAAAATTGACGTAAATTGACTTTAGGCTATGGGTTCTTGAGGCTTTTTTGTGCGTCTTGATATGATACATGTCTCCAGCAAATTTCGGGCATGTAGGTGAACGAGGGGCTAATTTTTTCCAATTTTCTAGGTTGCGCTAGCAAGTCATTTTGCAACGCCCAACACACGGTCGTGCTCGGGCTCTAAATATATAATCTTAGCAAATTCAATAGGGACCTCACACGGTCGTGCTCGGGCCCTAATAAAATAATCTTAGCAAATTCAATAGGGACCTCGCATGGTCGTGCTCGGGCCCTAATAACCAATAAAAGAGGTAACTAGAGTTCTGACATTGTCTCTATTACTGGTAACCATCTTTGATCAAACCTGTCTGACTTGAGCTGCAACCTCGCTGTGATTTTCTCCATGATGAACACACTTTTTACCCTTTCTCTCCATTCAGTTATACTGGGAGGCTGTGGCTTCAACCAAGAGGCTGTGATTGTTTTCTTTGCTATTAAAAGCAGAATTCTCAGTAAGGAAGTCAAGTTCCTATCTATAGCATTATCTGGGACTATACCCAATATGTACAATGCTGGATCTAAATTAAAGTCAATACCCAAAACTGTTCTATTTCCTTTTGAATATTCTTCCAATAGTCTAAAATCTTAGGGCAATCCCAAAATATATGTGTAAAGTCCCCTACCAATCCACAACCCCTCCAACATCTCTCCAAAGTATTACTATACTTTGATGTAATAGATGGAGTGTGAAAATACCTCATTTTGATCTTCCAATCAAACTCCCTCCACGTCGGGCTGCTAGTTACCTTATGTCCTGCTTTGAATGTTTCTTCCCATTGTTCATCTGTTATTATAATATTTGCTTCCAATTCCCATTTTTCCTTGACATCCAAATTGTTATTGTTAGATTCCAATTGTACCTTATACAGTTTTGATATAATCCCTTTCTTTGTTTCTCCCTCTGTATACGCCATTAACAATTCTTCTAGTTTCGACGGGGTGTTAGAGATCTTCTCCCACTCCTTATGTGTCTTAAGGTAATGTCTTAGTTGTAGAAACTTAGAAAAAATCATGGGCTGGTAAATTAAATTCTTGTGTTAACTGTTGAAATGACTTCAAGGTTTGTCCCCTAAACATTTGTGCAATATATTTTAACCCCTGTTGTGTCCATCTATTATATCCTGCATCCATCATAGATGGCAAAAAATCTGGGTTTGTCGAGATTCGAGCGGCTCTACAAATGGTGTTTGACAGTTTCAATTTCTTACGTACCATTGAGCATATTCTCATTGTCCCCCTGATCCAGACTTTGCCCACCTTCAGCCTCTTTAGTGTTACCTCACTCAAAAATGGAAGCGACTCTATAGGTACATTTATAGAGTTTTGTTCCGTTCCCATCCACAATGTATCTGCATATTAGTAATCCACATAATAATAGCCCTGAGTTGAGCAGCCCAATAGTAATTGTTTAAATTGGGTAAATTTAACCCTCCCTTCTCTTTTGGACAAAGAAGTGTCTTATATTTAATTCTTTTTCCAAATAATTGGAATATTTGGGATATAATCTTGTCTAACATCTTAAAGGTAGAGTTAGAGACCATAATAGGCAATGACTGGAACAAAAACAACAGTCTTGGTAGTACATTCATTCTCACAGTTTCTATCCTCCCCATCAGAGTCAAAGGCAAAATCTCCCACCTCTTTTTTAATTTCAGTTATCAATTTCCCATTGTTCGCTTCAAATAGCTG